TTTTGTAAAACAGGAACTCTACATCAATAAACTGTTACAGAGGTTTCGAATGGAAAATGCTAACCCCGTCAAAACTCCTGCCGATCCAGGTTCAAAATTAACCAAGCCAACCGGTCCCGCCGACCTCCAAGTCCCGTATCGCGAAGCTGTTGGGTCGCTTTTATTCTTAGCTCTAGTATCGCGTCCCGACATCGCGTACGCTGTAGGCGTCGTGAGTAGATACCTCGACTGCCACAGCGACATGCACTGGGCCGCCGTGAAGCGAATTTTCCGCTATCTTAAAGGCACGCGCGATTATGGCATCTTAATCTGCCAGAACGCAGTATCGCTCGAACTCGTTGGTTTCTCGGACGCCGACTATGCCGCCGATACTGACACGCGAAGATCGACAAGCGGTTACGTTTGCATGATGAGTGATGGGTGTGTTGCATGGTCATCGAAACGACAATCAATTGTAAGCCTCAGTACCACCGAGGCAAAATTCATAGCCGCAGCGGAGGCAGCGAAAGAAATAATATGGCTACGTAAACTAATGAATGATCTCGGGCATGGTTGTGTTAGGCCGACTACGCTTAATATCGACAATCAAAGTACAATCAAATTAACCAAAGACCAAGAATTTCATCGAAGGTCAAAACATATTGATGTTCGTTTTCACTTTATCTGCGAAAGCGTTCAAAATAAAATTCTATCGACTAACTATGTAAATACTCGCGAACAATACGCAGATATTTTCACAAAAGCATTGCCATACGAACAGTTTAGCACCCTCCGGCATAAAATGAAAATTGTAAGTTACGACTCTATCGAAAAAACTCAAGCAGTGGGGGTGTTAAGATACGAAAAGTAGTATCATGTGTGTGTGCTCTCGCAGTTTCATTGTCGCCAACTTACGACTAGCATGGTATGTCGTGTGCGTGTGGTGGGGAGAGCGATCGCGGCTGAGTACAGCACTGCGTCGGAGCCTGTGATGCTCTCACTTATATTTCCGCTTACGAGCAAGGACCTACGTCCCATATTTGTATTTTTCTTTTTCACATATTTAAATAAATCAGTTTATATTAAAGTACCATCGTTTTTCATTCACCACTCTACTCGCTACACTATAACATGTTAAAAATGTCGACTTCCCTTAAGAAGACACACTCATAGACATGTACGCATACATGCATTGATGGAGCAGCCGGAGGCGGCTCTACGTCAACGTCATCGACTCAATCCTTCTCTACGGTGCCCCAATCTGGAGCCACGGTGCCGGAACACTAGTCGGCATGCGTCGGGCGGAAGCGATCCATCGGCGAGCCTGCCTACGCGTCATCAGTGGTCGCCCGCACCTCTCGTACGATGCTACCTACGTCTTTGCCAGCATACCACCGCTGGCCTTACTAGCAGACGAGCGTAGCCAGCTCTATCAGCACCGCCATGAGGACGCGAGAGCTGAAGAACGCCAGGAGACACTGAGAAGATGGCAGAGCCGATGGGATCGCTCGACAAAAGGACGATGGACGCACAGGCTGATCCCAAACATCAGTTTGTGGATAGACAGGAGACACGGAGAGGTAGACTATCACCTCACCCAGCTCCTGACAGGCCATGGCTACTTCAAACATCACAGCCAGCGCTACGACCGCAACGCCAGCGCGGATTGCCCGGCCTGTCCCAACACGGTCGAAAACGCAGAGCACGTGTTCTTCCACTGCACTCGATTTGAGGAGGAAAGAGAAAAGCTCCACCGTCAGCTCCAAGAGGTTGCCAGGCCGGAAAATGTCGTCCAGCTCATGCTAGCAGACAAAAAAAACTGGCTCGCGGTAGCCACCTTCGCCAAATCAGTCATAACAAGTCTGAGGGCCGAAGAGATGGCCAGAAGAGGATGACCGGACGATGCGGAATGAAGAAGACGCAACAACAATCAGCGTAAACGTGATGAGCTTGCTGCATCAGCCCAGCCTCTCCCCGCGAAGTAGTGCCCAACGGCGGTTCCGCGGGGGTTAAACAGGGGCAGAAGGAGAAGTGGATGGGCCACACAACACCTATATGTTTTATAACTCAGTTTGTTTCTAACTCCACCCGCCTACATAAAATATGTAAAAACGGAAACAAAAAAAAAAAAATGTACCGAAATACATTTGATTTAATAAACTGAGACCATCGCTCCATTAAAAAAAAAATACATGCATTGATCGATATCAGATTTTAAAACATGCATGATAGTGCGTACAGTCTCGCGACGTATACGCATAGACAGCACATACGTATTCTATGTATTATCGTATATGCATAAGTAAGAGAGATTGATTGATTGATTGATTGACTTTTTATTAGGGACCTTTGGGTATAACCCTATCTGGCCCCACGGAGAGAAAGATATCTCAACGCAGTCAATCCCGTGAGCTAAGCCGACTGCTGTTGCTTATGTTGTTACAATTGCTTCGTGTTTTTGTATACATAAACACAGTCATACGCGCGTGCGAGAGCGAGAGAGAAAGAGACATGTGCGTCGAGTCTCGGCAGTGGGCAGCAGCAGAAAGCAGTTCTATGTAGCTAGCGCGGCAGCCAATCACAGCGCGTAGCGCAAACCGACGCTGTATAGGCAGTTATACTACCAAAATTGCGCTCGCTCGGGCGGACGCTCGGTTTTTACGGGTTTACCCCTGATACCAAACGCGAATATAGATGGTTCACATCAAAAATTCCTACAATATTTAGGCTTCTGATAATGTGAATTTAAATTGATTCAACAACTTTTATTATTAAGATTTATTATAAAATTTTAATTATTAATAAACTTATTGTTTAATTAATTAGAGGCATTACAGTCACGTCAGATCTGACATTAGATCTTATGTCAGATCTGTTATAAGTTCTGATGTAGATTATCGAATACAAGATCTGGTATCAGATCGGATGTCAGATCCGGGGTACATTTGTCAGATCTTATACCAGATCTGATGCCAGATTTGGAGTCAGATCTTACATAGGGTAGTCAGACCAATCAAAGACCGGGTACCAGTGAATGACCATTTTGGAAAATATCATATGAAAAACAATTAAAAATATATTTATATGTACGTTATTCAATTCTTTAGTGAACGATGCATCTTGTTTTCCATGTTCGATCATAATTTAACAAGGAAAAACAATACTTATTGCACATCCAAAAGTGGTCATTTTACTGGTCGAAAGCGGTCAATCACTGGTATAAGTACCCTACTATTTTAACTTGGGTTAGTAGATACCTAATTTTTTCGTACGAGACTACCCAGTACATGGGCTGTGCACGATTGAAAAATATCAAGATCTTTGTATTACTTGTAATTTAACCGAGAGATTAAATTCAACGAAGAGGCTTTGGAAGACTCGATTTGAACTAGTAAATGTAGCCACATTTAAGATTCATTGAAAATACTTTTACTTTTTAATTGGTGCGAATTTTCAAACAGTAGTCGATCCAGTACATAGATCCTACTACGCCGAAGACCCGCACCATAGCTCATGAAAGTTTAATATTTTCAGGTGACATTTTACTTCACTCCAGGTAACAGTATGACATAAATTTAAAATATTACCATGTTACCACAAAAATTTGTCGAGCTTATTGTCGAGATGTCCAACTTTTTGTTAAAATCGTTGATATAAACAAATCAGCATATTATGCCGGTGCTCACGAAAAAACACGATGAAAATCGCTATGAAAAAAAACTATTAGCCGCCGTAGAGGGAAGCTAGCAGAGTCTTATCACGGTCAATCGCTCAGCAATCACAATGTGCGAAATAATCAGACGCTATACTGAAGCTAACAACCGTCGTTAATCGTGCTTGCTCGTAAATACGGACGGACGGACGTTAGGTCGTTTGTAACGGATTTACCCCACATACCAAGTTATTACGCGTCCAAAATATTAGACATCTTATGTTTTCTTACACTTTTTTTATACTTTATAACAGTCACAACAATGTTATGTATTTTATCTGCATGTAAATAGAAAAAAAGTTTATCAAAACAACCTTCATTCATTATAATTCGTTGTAAGGTTTTTCGGTCTCGTCAATAATTAAAATATTATTAACTACAATAAAAAGTAAACAAATGTGGAAAAATTGTCCAGAATCATTTGTTATTTTACATTTTTTAATTCCTTGACACTTTTCATTCAAGTTTACACTATTATTACAGATTTTAATTAGAAATTTTTTTTCTGCAAGGCTATGAACAGTTGAAAAGTATACATAAATTTATTGAATCTTTGTAAAATGTTAAGACATGTAAATAACGTAGACTTTGAAAACGATATTTGTATAATACTCTACGACTGCATTCAAAATTAAATTCAGAAAAATTATGTAGGGTGGCGAAAAATAATTGTTTAAATTTTTTCAAATATAAGATGATGATATCAAATTAAAGTGGCTTTGAAAATTTTCAACAAAATAATTTTTTTTTTTTTCTAACAAAACAAAAACAAAAACAATTTGGTGCTTATATTTCAAATTTTTAATCGTTAAATGTAAGTCAATTTTCGAATTAAAAAATGTCGGTAAGTTTGTTTAATAGGTTTAGATAAGTTATATAAATATAATTTTTTAGGGATGCATTTAATTTGAATAATTCGAATTTTCTAATATGGTATGTTCGTTTAAGATAGTTGTACTTCATGGAAAGCTAGAAAACCCATATTATTGATTTTATAGGAATGACGGGAAACAGCGTGAAAATCGATAAGAGGTGGATGTTACTTAGATATGCAGAAATGTTATTTACTATGTTAATTGTACAATTGTAATCTATTCACATTAAAAATATTTGTTAATAATTAAGTGTGTATACATTTCGAAACGATCTAAATTATTAATTAAGAAACTCAACTTTTTAAATTTGATCGTCTTGCATAGTAAAATGATAGAGAATGATCTGTACTAATTATAAATAGTGATCTAAAAACATATGATTAATGAACAAGTGATATGGATATAATACAAATTGAAATAATGACCATTGCAACTTTTCTTTCAAAAAAATAACATTTAAGTATGAGATTCAAGTGAAGACCATTCCCAACATGTAACATGGAAAGAAACAATTATGGTACAGTGCTAAAATGTTTTGGAAAAACATAAAAATGATGTTTTTAATCATTTTTCTTCATCATGTTGATTGCTCTGGAACATCTGATAAAAGAGGTACACTTATAGGAAACTTTTTATTTGTATTCAATTACGTTCAATTCTTTACGTATACTTTTAGCCCACACATTTTAATATGTACTCCTTATTTAAAGCTCTTTATTAAATAAAATAATTGACCAAATAGAATTATTAAAATATGTATTGTATTTTATATTTTCAGTATTTATTCATAAAATTTACAATATTTTCGAAGAAAATAATTGATTCATAAATATCGTAAAAATAAAAATTATTTAGAAGCTGATTATGAATATTTTATAGTAAATATTTTCTGTTCTATGAAATATCGTACACTGCTTTTACTAATCAATCCAAATATCAATTTTTCACTCCAGCCTTTACAAAAAATTCGTAGGACGAAGATTGTAAAAGTTTGCGTTTTCAAGCATTAAACTGACAATATTTTTTCTGTATAAGTGTAAGATGTAAAAATCTGAAGTGAGTTAGATCTTGAAAAACTTTAACACATTGAAAGACCACAATTTTGAGATCCAATTCTAAATAATTCAAATCAATCGTAATGATTCAAAACTTTTTAGATAGCTGTATATCTCATATAATGTGTTTTATGTACGATAAAATCGTTCCAATTTCTGTGCAACGATCGGAATTAACCAATCAGCAATATTAAAGATATTTAAAAAAATAATATTTATCCAATGAAGTCGAAATGAATACATTTAATATACTTTCTTTCATATTTACTGATACAATCTATGTAACTATTTCTGATAATGAATCATGTTTAAGAGAAGTTGATTGAACAAATGCTAGTAAAAGGCACGCTTCTTCAATAATGGTTTTTATCATGTAATTTATTTTTGATAAACATAGAATTCTGTATACATCATGATCATAGATGGTTTTGCAAAGAAGCCACTTACAAGGATTGTCATGTTCCAGAGATCGAATATGAGATATCTAGAAAATTTCAAAATATAATGTAAACGTACTTTTGAGTTTTCGACAAATACAAATAAAACCCTGTACAATATAACGTAAAATTTTGCAAATGAGTTCGCATAAATAGTTGAATTGAAAGCTGCATTAACTACTCTGTTGAAGTTCGTTGATGCATCTCCACAGATAAAATAGTATGTTATGCAGATATAACGTAATATTACGTTAAGAAGATGACTCACCCATAAGTAGTTTTCACCCAATCGCAGCGAGGGTATTTTCCACACACTAGGTGCATGCGAATTTTTAACATTTCGTGCATAAAACGAGGGTTTTATTATCATATTTTATAGCAATAGTGTATGTTTCATATAAAGCAAAATATCATGGTTTCATTCTAGTACTTTCAAGCCCATAATGTTGTACTTATGACTTTTATATCGAAGTCTCAATCAAGCAGTTTTTTTAAAAAAAGCAAAAATTGATTAACGATAAAAGTAGCATTTTAGCTTGAGTTAAGTTAGCATTGTTTTAAACTACCAACATAAAAAACGACTGGTACGTAAAAAATCGAGAGGCAGATTCAGCAGCTGTATGATGTCAGAAACGATGATGTTGGGAACTTACCATAATGTTTTAGGTTAGATAATGTCGTTTTTAATACCAAAAATTTATTAATCTCACCTCAACAGAATTTCAGCAAAAATTGGTAGCTAATTATTTTAGTCAGAGCGTCTGAATGAATTCAAAGATCGCTTTTTTACGTTAACGTTAGAAAATTCTCTACACGCTTACCTTTGAACTCGCTAAAATCATTTATGGTTACCGAAATTTTCATTACAGAAAATCACAAGGTCTGAAAATATCGTAATTTTTTTTCAATCATTAATTAAAATTTATTGACTGCAGATCTGATATCAGATCTGGTATAAGTTCTGGTGAACGCACATCAGATCTTATGCCAAATCTTAATTATTATATCAGATCTGATATCAGATCTGATGTCGATTATCGTATGCGAATTCTGATATAAGATTTGGCATAAGATCTGATGTGCGTTCACCAGAACTTAAACCAGATCTGATATCAGATCTGCAGTCAGATCTAACATACCATTTTTACCTGGGAACTCTTAAAAGTAGCTAAAAATTCATCAAGCCTACGCATATCATCTTGAATTTAGAAATACTATGTGTAAGTCAAACTTTATACATTTATAATTCAAATGTCCCCAAAATAAGGTGTAATAGTGCCACCTTTAATTTACCTTCAATTTATATACTATCCTTCATTCTTTCTAGCTAGAATAAATTAACTTATTTTATACTTGTATCTCATGACGTAACCGATAAGTTGTTGGTTTTAGAACTTTTCATTCGGATTACCTTGGTTTGCATAATTTTTTTAAGTCCTTTAAAATATAATAAATTACTTCATTCCCTTGATTTAACAATAGTAATTACAAGTAATTATATCCAATTCCTTAGAGATTTTTATGCTTCGTGTTATGTAACCAAGATTTTATACAACAGCATCACGTAGGTAATGAAAGAATAAAAGAGGTAATTAAATAATAAAATTCAAAATAAAATCCGTCTAAGCGTTAGGATAATCAAAAGAAATTTAAAACATTTAATATAAATATCAATTATCACGGAAAATCCATTTATTGGTTCTACGTTGATAAATAACAAAATGCTTTGAGATTTACAGGTTATAATGAAATTTGAACATACTTTCAATGAGAAGTCTACATGAAAAAAGGATACTTCTAAAACAGTTTTAAAAAAGTGTATCTGTATCACAAGATTTATTTAAAGTAGAGTCTTATTTGTTTTAGAATTCCTACGCTTTACCGGTATAAAGAATGGCAAAGTGTTTGAATTCTGGGACTAATAAACTCTTGACTCAATCATTAAACTATTATTTATCAACTGAAAGGAAGTTTTATATACAATAAGCTGGAAGTGTTGGTGAAATTTTTCTGTGGAATACAATCAGATTCATAATAAGGGAAATAAACTCCACGAGTAAATTTGGTTCAAAAGTCATTTTTTCTGTTCTATAGGAAGGAAAAAATCCGTTGTAAATGAAATTAAACGGAATTACCAAAATGAAACCACTACTTCATTTCAATGGAGGATAAACGTAAACTTTATTCATAAAAAAAAAACTTGTTCAAAATATCGATATTATATTGCACGTGGGAATTAAAAAGGCATTCAAGGAGTATGAAATCAGAGATTTTTCGTTAAAACTAACATTTTTCATTTCAATTTCATTATACTATTAATTTCATTATACTATTAACATTCATTGAGTGGAATTCATAATTCGATATTTTGTCGATAATTTATTCTAAGTTTAATGGATATACGTAAACGGGATTTATATAAACGAAAATATACCCTCGGATATGTTGGTCAGGCAACGTGCAGCTCAAGTGCTTATTCTTGTGGAGATGTCTGATGGTGTACACAGCAAATTCGAAATTAGTTCATCTCAACGAGAGGACGTGCGTGTGGTTAATTTGGAAGTTCACTAATAAAAACGAGGACGGGGTGTGATTGTAGTATTGTGAAGTGATGTGTTTACACCAATTAAGTCGTAGTAGTAATGATTGTATGGTATTCTTAAAAGTTCAGGAGTAAATAAAGTAAAGATTATTCGTATACAAAAGTACTACATCCTCTTGTGGTTAATTCCCGACCTTCTCATTTATTTTCAGCATTGGACTACCAAAACTCACGGTGCACTTGGTGATAGCTCAACCCCATCTGCGGTAAGATGATCAGTATATGCTTATGGGAGCCTTCGCAGCGCGAGCACGGGCTAATGCCAAAGTACCTCGCACGTCTCAGAAAGCATTTCGGGCCTACCAACAGCAATTGAATACTTTCAATAAGCTTTTTGGGATTTTTATCGTTCTTTTCAAATCTGGCGTCAGATTTATGATATATGCACCCCTTTTTAAAAATACATTTGTTTAAACAAAAAAGCGTGGTTTTTCGAACATTTGTCTTGAAAATGATCGTATTTTTCACAACGATTACGCTTTCGGATGAGGATAAAACTCTGGACCTGGAGGCATACAGGCCTATACTAAAAATTAGCGGCGGTGGTTCATCCAGATTGAAGATGGTAGCCACCAAAACAGATGATTCAACGATTATCGGCTAAAAGACGATACGGCACATGTTATAATGCTTTGAGATGTTTTTACTCGGTAAGAATGGACTATACAAAAAAATGTTATGAACAAAAAGTTTAGAATTGATCAAAGAAACACGCGTGAATTTTTCAGAATTTTTTGGATGAATTTGGATATTTTTGGATGTGGCCATTTTATAAAAATTTCCAAAATCATCCAAAAAATTCTGAAAAAATGCATGCTTATTTTTTGATCAATTTTAAGTACTTTAAATTCAACTCCACTCAAGGACTAGAAGGAACTGTTCCGAAAATTTTGAGAGCCAAAAGATCAGTATTGATGAAGAGCTTACATCACAGTGGCATTGACAGTCAATGCAATTAAAATAAAATATTATTGATAAATAATTATAATTGGGATTTCCAAGCTCGGAAAGAAATATTTTTGGTCAATCCGGTTTAGTATGAACCAATTTCATTATTATAAGTGGAGTTCGTGTTGGGTCACCGCTCGAGTAACATCTCAACGCGATTGGGGTACAAAAGGTAAAATCTAAAAGGTCTAGACCGTAAGATCCAACGGCATGAATAGGTCCAAAATATCTAAAAAATCTCGAATCCAAAAATCGTAGACCCAAAAAATCAAATATCCACAGGAGCAATAAAACAAAGATATTAAAGTTGTAGGTAATGACCAAGGTCCTTAACATATTTTAGCTGAAAATCGTCTTCCACGTATTCATCATAACGCATCAAGATGTTCATAATTCGATCTTTGACTGCGGTGAAGTAACCATCAGGCTTCTTGTGAACGGCTTGACCCAACTGAATTAGACGCAGCAGTGTTTTGGTGTCACTTTGCTCATGTTGCAGCTCCGCGAGCAAAGTATAAATGCTGAGGTGTTTCTTGCCCACAATCACCGGGAACCGATTTAGCCAGCCTT